CAAGCAATATTCATGCATCCAATTGTCGATGCCAGAGGGCAATGCGTCTATCGTCGCAGAGATATTTATATATATGTATTTATATATATGTATATATCATAAATGACAAATATAATTGACAGCATGAGCGATTGAGCGAGCTATGCTGAGTAAAGCCGAAGAAACGCTTGGCCTGTGAGACTATACAAGGCTGTCCATATTCGATGGATCCATCTGACAACCCTACCAGGCGGCCCATATTCGACGGACCCATGCATTATTATTTTAAATTATTATTTTGGCTTAGGTAGCTTTGTGGATATAGATTTAGGAATATGATATACATATTTCATATGGCCTTCAGTCTGTACGGCGTATTGTGCACGTTTCTGTCAATAGATATATGGCTGCCAGATGGGTCCATTGCACATAGACAATCCCGTATATAGGGCTCGACTAGACATTCGTAGTGTAACCTATTCAAATGCTCAGGAATTCGCTTTAGAAATTGCTTTTGAATTTGTTCATCATATCATAAGAGTAATTAAAAATTCTGAATCAATATATTTTATATTTTGATTTTTATCTTGAGCAACGACTCGACTGAGACTTGCCATATATAAAATAAAATTTAATAAAAATATGCTTTGACGCATACAGAAAAGCTTTGTATGTAAAATTACAAATTTTTTCATATTAATAATTTTTAAATAGTTTTCTTTTATTGTTATTAATATTAATATTTTTTATTTACTTTTATTCTGTCACAAATTTATGTTGATTCAGAATGAAATTTCCTTGGGCGCAACGCGTGTGCAATTTTCCTCAATTGGATTTGGTTTTGTTTGTTTGCCTGTTTCTGTGTGTGTGTGTGTGTGTATAAATCGTGCTGGCTTGTTAATAATTCAGTTACAAAATATGCGCAGAGAAAGTCAATCTGTGGGACAACAAACATCAGACAGCAGACCGAAATGCCAGCAAAAAAAAAAAAAAGAACCAAAAGAGTATAAATAAAATGAAAACAACAACAACAACAACAACAACAGCAGCAGAGAGTAGCAGCAACAGCAGCGAGCTGTACACAAAAAGCAACGTAATTAATGGAGGTAGAAGCATTTAAGCCAATAGCATTAATAAAGCCACCACAAAATCAATATCCGGATACGAAAATGCGCCCGTCGCCTATAAAAACTAATTAATAATTTCCGAATGGGCTATTAATTAAGCCTAATTATCTGTGCATGAGTCTGGACCCGCAACGTGGTCTGTACTTTATCCGAAACCAAATTTCCGACCCCAGCCATGTTCTCTACCTCCCCCCCTCCCCAACGGGCTCGACAAAGTCGCCGCCTAACATTGGCATTTTTGGGGGCCGTACACGCCCCCGCGTCCCCACTCTCAGCATCCCTTCCATGTTTGTGGCGTTTACATTGAAACGTTATCGCGCTGGCATGTGGCATGTGTCCGTCGCATCAGATACGTTTGTAATTTTTATGCACAGCTCCGGCCAAAGTCCCGCATAATGGCCATGATGGAGCTGCAATTAGCGGCCCACATGCGCCATAAATTTGAGCGCCATCCAGGGTAGCCGATAGGTGATAGGAAATAGGGAGATACGCATGTATGTAGGTGTACACGGTATGCACTTATCGCTGATGATTGCGCGCCACGTTCGGTAACTTGTCCAGCCTGGCATCCTTTGTTGCATTGCGTTTCGGTTCGCTTCGGTTGCTTGCGCTTCTTCTTTTGAGTTGAGTCCACATGCTGCTCGTATACTTCATCTGCTGCGTATTCTAGTTTTGATCACGCTCTTCTCTTTGTTTGTTTTTTTCCTCATCTCGCTCTCACACATACTACAAACTAACATATATGAAAACCAAAACCAAAAACAAAAACATAAACGATATCAACAAGAAAGATATGTCCCAATTTGGTTTAGGTGCCAGCAACACGCATTGGGGCTATGGATCGGCGGCGTCTGCCTACTCGCCGTACTTGGCCAGCAGTGGACTCTCCTCCTGCACCACGCCCACATCAGCACAGTTCAACAATCCGGCACTGGGCTTCACCTGCTCGTCCAACGATCAAACCAACAATCAGGACTTTAGTGGCGCCACCAATCGCGACTGTGTGCCAAGTAAGTTGAGATTACCAAATGATTTATTGATGTTGGGAGATTATTGATCATGGGAGAGTTTTCTTTTTTAAATGGAAAGGGTATTCCAAAAAGCTTTCCAGATTATTAAGTATAGAATAGATTAGCCTTAGAAGCAGAATCGAAGAAAAACTACAATCAATGTTTATTGATCATGCATGATCATGGAAGGAATTTAATAGCTTGTCAAGTATTGAAATTAACTCTCAGATATACTTGTAGTTGTTTCGTTTTTCTAGAAAAGTGAACAAGAGCAATGTCTTATACCTCGTACTCTCTTATAAGTGCAAAAGCCTAAAGTAAAGCACGTAGTATTTAAAGTAATCCTGATTCGGATATACTTGGAACTTTTTCTATAAGAACAATATCCTATTCTTCGTCCTCGCACTTATATTGCAAAACAATTAAGGTTAATGCAGTCGATGTTAATTGATCATGATAAGACGATAGTACCCATATTGCAACCTCGAAACGTGCCCGTCTCTGTCAAAAAATATAGGCTTGCCATATCCGTGCGTCAAATATAGACAGCCCTGCATAATTGACCATGTTAGAAATTTAAGATCAATACAAAATTTGTCTTAATTTAAAACAAGTTCTCAGAGGAAATATTTTTTTTTTTTTTTCATATATGTGTTTTGCCATTTATTTATTTATTTGAAATTCAATATAACTTTAATTTAAGCACTGGCTACTGGGGCCTTTGTCTAGATTTTGTTTTTCAGATATAATCTTCAATTTTTCATAACTGTTAAGGCATGTCTGTGCCAAGTAAGCGCATTAGCAATCAATGTTTTATGATCAGCATTAACATCTTCGAATATATGTATATATACAAAATAGGTTTAGTTTTTATAGCACACCAAAAATATAAAACTTCTGCTATAATTGTTTCATTCTCCATAATATATTATATTATAAATATATTAGAAGCAATCTCCTATACAGCTCCATCATGTATATTACATTCAAGTTTGTCTGTTCCAAGCACTCAATATATTTGGTTCTTGATAGAGTTTTCCAAAGAATTTATTATAAATACAGGCTCGATTTAGGCTGTGAAGTATTCAAATAAATCATATGGAATAAAAAAGTATTAGGAGCATATATATACACATCTCACTATATATACATATATACTGGCTGGGTCTAGAAACCCATATTTCCTGATAGAGTTGTTCAATCGTAAAGTGGGTTAGATATATATAACTGCGTTTCAATAACTTCAAAGAGCTTCAAACGATTCTCTAGAATATCATACGAGAAATCTCTTATAAACGTCCATCAATTGATAGTCGTAATTTAACTTAGGATTTCACGGAAAAGAAAGAAAAATAGATCTCAAAACTCCGAGTAGGGTCTCATTTATGTCTTCATCTCTCCCTCTCTCTCTCTCTCTCTCTTTCTCCTATCTGTTGGGTAGTTAACACCGGCTCCTCCAGCCACTTGGCTTAGTTTCCATATTCATATACGAGTCAGGCTTTGCACTAATACCTTCTCCTACTTGTATCCACCTCGTTTCTTTGACGCAGTGCTGCCCGACTCGACGGCCAGTGACTTGGACCAGCATCTCAGCAGCCTGGTCGGCTCGACCAGCGGCCAGATGTCGCACCACAGCCTGCTGGGCGCCAGCGGACAGACGTCCATAACATCGACCGTGAACGGGGCGAGCGCCGGCAGCGGCGCCACCGCTGGCAGCGCAACGGGCGCCGGCGGCGGCGGCGGTGGGGCCAATTCGATTCTGGTGCCGCGATACCACACCAATGCCAGCAACGAGTACAATGTGCATTCCAGCCAGAATGGGCCGCGCAGCCTGAGCGACAGCTCGCAGGCCGAGTCGCCGGTGCAGGAGGACCTGCTGTCCACCAATACACCCAACCTGGGCAGCGGCACTGGCGCCGGTGCGAGCAACGGTGGTGCCGCCAACGGCGCGGCGAGTGCAGCTGGCGCGGGCAGCGGCGGAGCGGCCGGAGCATCAGCCGGCGCCGTCAATCCCGCCATGCTGGGCGCCAATCAGAACTTTCCGGGCATTGTGAACCAGGCCCAGCATGCCTCCGCCTCGGCCTATGGCGGCGGCGTCGGCGTCGGCGTCGGTGTGGGCGTGGGCGGCGGGCACGGCAGCGGCGCTGGGGCCACGGCCGCCGGCTGCAACGGCTCGCTGTATCCGGTGCTGCCGGCCAGCCTGCTCTACTCGCAGCTGTACACTGCCGCCAATCAGTCGGCGCACGGCTTCCACTCGCACACGCTGCCGGCGCACGCGTCGCCCAACTCGTCCGTGCATGGCGAGCTGCAGAGCGTCATGGATCACATCAGCAACGTGGGCGTACGGCAGCAGCACAACATCATGGCCGGCGGGGGCGTGGCGCACCCGGGCGACCTCACGCTGATCGGCAACTGCGGCGCGTCGGTGCGCAACATCGAGGACGGGAACACCAACCGCCAGGTGGCCGCGCTCGCTGCCCATCGCGGCCACCACAACCCAACTGACAACGGGGGCAGCGTCTGGAGGCCATATTGAGGTCAGGTTCTGTGGTGCGGCTCCGCAGTTCTTTAGTGCCACGAGCACGACGAGGGGCGAGCGGCGGAGAAGCAGCACGAGCCACTGCAAGGCAACGATAATGGGAGCGGGCATCGGGATTTGGGCGGGGCAATGGACGGCAGCGGGTGCGGGGGAGGGGGCGTGGGTTACTGAGTGTACATTTCTGTATATACATCTTATAGGCCATACGAAAGAAATT